GGCACTGAGGAGAATTTCCAAGGACTTAGGCCACTGCTGCTCCCTCCCTTCCTGGAAAAGAATGCAAAGTGCAGCTTCCATCCCCAGATTCAGGCCATATGCTCCATTAACCATTGTAGGCACCTTGCCCAGTTGTTATTTTAATAAACTTGCTTATGCTCCTCCATTTCCCTGAGAGGGCCCACTGGGCAGGCCAGGACTGGTAGAGCCTTGAATTTCCCCTCTGGTTGACCCAGGAGCTGTTTGATGAAAGTTCTGCTCATAGTATTAGTGCTGGCTTAGGAAGCTTGGCTTTCTTGCCATTGTAATGAGTGTTGTAACTCCTGGTTTCTGTGGGTCAGGCCAACAACAGCAGAGTAGAGTTGATGTGGATTTTGAGGGCGTTATGGGGAGATGACATTTCAGGAAAGAATAATTGACTGAAAGCTATTGCTTTTTTCTTAAAGGCAGGGGGCATGGCAGGACAGAAAGAAAAGAATAATAATCCATATTTGCCCCAAAATCTATCTTCACAGTTTTAATGTACCACTGTCTAAATATATATATATACACTTCTATATATATATACACACTTCTATATATATATATACTTATATATATATAAAAAAATAAAATTTGTGCTTCATTGAATTTATTTCCACTGTGTCTGAGTAGTCTTTAAATAATTTATAAATGAAGACTTTTACTGAATCTTTCATCAGGCCTTGGGTACAACCTCCGAGGTTTGTTCACCTTCTGATATCCCAAGAGAAATAATACCTTCAGATTCCTGTTGATTTTTTTTGAGCTATGTATTTTCTGCCATAGTGCTCTTAACATCATCTGGAAAAAGGTTACCAAGATTTACATTTGGAAGATCAGGATAACCTTCAAATGCATCCGAAGGAAACAACACCCCCCTCCCCTCTATTGCCTCACCCATGTGTCACTAGGAGAAACAGCAGTATTGGAAAAAAAAATTGCTGCTGCCTGTGACCACTATACCCACAGAAAAGGAGTGGGAGAGAAAATACCCATGTGATGGACCAAATAATTCCACCCCCTGCCTTCAGCTGCCTTTTCTAGGAGCCAACTTTCCCCCTTGGGTCCTTGAGAGATGCTTAATTTTAATTGACTCACAAGAGTTCTACTTTGTGTTTTAAAAACCACACAGAAATGGGAAGTAAGTGAAAGAGTTCCACTCTCCATCCCCTACTCCTAACAGATATATGCAAACAAATTCAAGATACTCAACAGCCTTAAAACAGAATCTTGGGCTGGCACCAGAGGCTAGGTTTGTGATAGGCTCTATATTTCTAGTAGGCTCTGTAGAAGTTAGTGAATCCTATACACACAGAATGGAATTGTGCTGCAAACTTTGCCCTGTGGGTAACCCAGCAGGTATGTTCCTCTAAACTGCATTTCCGCCCTTTCATGAATGGCTTTTGAACAATTCAAAGTGGTCACACTTGTGAGAAGGACAGAGAATGCAGTGACAGATTTCATTGCTCTGAAATGCTTCTGCTTTTGTGAGGGGTAGGACACTGAATGTTTCTCCCCAGCTTTCAACAGCACTTCCCCTTCACTGGGTTCCATTTCTCATTTGCAGCTTTCCACATCTTTGTGTTTCATAGCTCATGGAATCTTGGCTTCCAAGAAGTAAATGGACCCAAGAGAGAGTTATATTTTAAGAAACAGAATGATGATCACTCACATTTTAAGTTAATAATAAAATCTGAATGTAATTGGCCAGATCCTCTTAGCAGGGAGTGGTGCAACCCGTCCTCAGGCCAACGTGAGAGTTTGGCACTTCTGTGGCATAGAGAAGGCCACCCTCATAGAGCCAGGGAGGAATCCACTAAGGACCCTGTGGCCAAGAGAAGATTAAACACTGGGAAGGTTCTGTGAGCTGAGAGGGCAGACAAGGGCTGCAAAGGTGGAAATAGAAATGAAGAGTTGTTTGTAGAGTTAAACAAACTGTAGGACATCGTAGCATACATAGCTTTCCTGCCTTAAAAAAATGCCCTTTCAATCCTATACTTCTCTAGCTACTACCTTCTCTCCTTCTTCCCTTTTGCAGCCACGATTTTAAAAGAGTGAAAATTCCTGTCCTACTTCTTTACCTTTCATTTACTCCCTGATTTGCTTCTGTTCAGTTTCTATTTCTTTCCCTTCAAAAACGGCTCTCATCTAGATCACTGATGACTTCCTTGTTGAGAAAAGCAAAACAACTGAAGCTTTTCAGTTTTTGAATTTAACCTTACTCTACACATTTTGATCCTGTGACACTACTCTCTTGTTTTTTTTTTTTTTAATCTTTCTCTGGTTGTTCCTTCTTAGTGTAATATGTCTTAATGCTTCATTCCACAGGGATCCTTCCACAGTCTCCTCTTCTTGTTCTACGTCCTCTTTCTAGGGAATCCCAAGCATTTTCCTAGCTTCAAACGTCATTCACATGTTAACGAATTCTTAAATCTATATTATTAGCCCAGTTTTCTTTCCTGAGTTCTAGACTCCATGCAGCTTGTTTTCTCCTGAATGTTTCTTTTTGTACGGAATGTTCCAAAGCCAACGCAAATTCAACATGCCCAACCACCCAAGCTTGTTTTTCCTTCTCTCTTACCTTTTTTTGGTAAGTGCCATCATGATACCACGAGGCACCCAAGCCAGAAAACTTGGTGTCTCCTTCGTTAATAACTTTCTAAGTTGCCTCCTTGCTTCGATATTTCTCCCTTATGGTCTCTTCATACAGCAACCAGATTTGATTTTAAAGAGTAATTCAGATTATATCAATCCTTGTTTAAAAGTTTCCAATGGCTTTCCATCACAAGCAGGATACAATCCAGACTTTTTCTATGACCTACAGAACCCTGCCTACTCTGGCTTCTGGCTTCTGTCTTGCTCTCTACCCTATGTCTCACAATCCACCCTTTTGTTCACTGTATGTCAAAGATCTTGGCCTTCTTTCTATCCCTCACCTACCTCAGGGCCTTTTGCTGTTATATTGTCTGGAATATTCCAACTCCAGATCTCTGCATTACTAGCTTCTTCTTCTGGGGTTGGTTCAAATGTCATCTTTCCAGATAGGTCTCTGCTGAGCATCACCCCAGTGAATTCAACACACTTCCTGCCTACTCCCACCCCTACCGCTGGGATTTTCACGACCTGAAATTATCTTGCTTGTTTATGTTTTCATTGTTTGTCCCTCTTTCTAGAATGTAAGTAAGCTCTACGGGAGCAGATACTTTGCTTTATTTATCACTGTATCCCTGTTACTTCGGAGAGAGCCTGGCACGTAGAGGGTGACCAGTAAATATATATATTTTTTTAAATAGAAAGAAAAGAATGAACAATGTTCTTAGATCCTGAGTTTCAGCCAAACTGCTTGCAATTCCCTAAACTACAAACAGTTGTATAATCTGCTTTCTCTGCCTATAATGCTCTTCTCTTTCCTGTTTTTCTGCTCAACTCCTGCTTATCCTTCATACAAGATTCTGTTCACCTCCTCCAGGAAGCTCTCTTTGATCATAGGAGTTTAAAATTTAGTGCCTCTGATAAACTTCATAGCAAGTATGCAATGATCAGGTAACTTTTTGTTAATATATCTGTTTCTCTTATCAGCCTAACTTCTGGTAGAGATACTTGATTTGTATCTCTAGGCCAGTGGCAGTCTATAAAAATGCACTCTAGAAACTCTACTTAAATATTTTGTTGAGTTATTTGGTAAGTCACAGACTCCTTTGGTAATGTAAATTAGCTGTCTCTTAAGTTCTTCCACTTGTCAAGTTTTGGCTTAACACATTGGAGTTTTTAAAATACAGGTGCAGACACAAACTTACTCAGAGAAAAGGCTCAGATTCCCAGTAAAGTTTTCTATAATAAAAATAACATTAAATATGATATTGACAATATATTATGTATTATATACCATGCATCTTTGATATAGATTACCTTATTCACCAGTAACTCTTCAAGGTATAGGTATTATTCTCATTTTACATACATGGAAACTGAGAGTCAGATGTAGTAATCTGTTCAAGCTCATACAGCTAGTAAAACAAACCTGGGATTTGAATCCAGGTCTCTGATTTCTAAGTGCAAGCTCTTTCTGTTACACCATGCCGCCCTCTACGGGACAAGTCCACAAATCAGGCCTATTTATTAAAAATATTATTATGAAGCTTGCAAAATTGGAGTTCTTACAAACTATAGAATCAAGAAAGATGATTTGAATTGCCATTACTTTAATTGACTGGAAAATGGCACTACTCTTAGCATGGCTAGGCAAGAGCTTTTTATTGCCTTTACCTAGTATGCTTTCTCTCTACTTATAAGCATAGAGGTATTTTGTAGAAATTTATATTAACCTGGTCAGGTTTTTGCTGTTACACTTAATACCCAAGGGTGGAGAGGTGCCTTGCTAGTTACCTTCTCCAACTTGTTTAAAGTTCATTATATTCATGATGAGGCCAAGCTACTTACATGCACTCAGTTTCAGGATTCTAGTTTGTCCAAGGTTTCTCTCTTTCCCATCTTGCACTCTAGAACATTGTGCTATGTGGATGGCAAGTTTTTCCTGAACTCTCACCCAGGTTGGGGCCTGCTTCCTGCTTCATTCTTGTCAGATGCTGTTTAATAGAGGTTGGGCCTGTTCTCCTTCCTTAGTTTGTCTTGCTCAGATTCCCTTGGCTTGTGTGGCCCTCACCTGGCATCACAGCGGTCCCCATTCTGCATCTTTGAAGCCGTATCCCTGCTTTATATCCTTTTGCATCTTGTAAGTGTGAGCTAGAACTAGAATGAATCTTCCCTGCCCCCAAATGGCATTGATCTTAGGTTACTGCTCTAGTTTCTTATTCCTCTACTGTTCCGATTTTGTTTCCTCTATGCTGTTAGACCGGACCCCTGAGCAGTGTTTTCAACCACTTTCTGGAACCAATACCTCAGCACGAAAGTCCTTATCAGTGGAGAGAGGACCAAAAGTCCAGGGACTAAACAACAGAACTTCAGATCTCACGGCTTACCACTCACTGCCTTTCTTCTGTGCATCTCTGGGGAAGGGGGTGGGGATGGAAGACAGTCTATATGTGATGATGATGTAGAATTGATCTTCTTTAGGTTCTGCTCATCTGAGGGATCTATCAGCTTAGTGATGGGCAAGCCAGAAACTGGTTGTTTGTATCTTGCATACTGTAGAGCATCCATGATCCATCTCATTTCCCGCCAAACTTCATCTATTTGCTTTGGAATAAAATGGTAAAAGACAGTAAGTTATCAAGCAGCGATTAAAAAAGAATACCTTTCCCTGAGAGTCCAAGATGATCCGATCCACTTTCCACAATGTTGGTTTTGAGCAAGGGTAAAATATTTTTAACATAGATTTGTTAAGCCAGAAAATACCTCTTTTTTTTTGGTAATATTTTGTGTTTTGCATATTTTTACCAGAGAGGCTCTGTCATTTAGTGAAAATAGTGGAAGACTTGGATGCTAGCTGGGATATATCACTTATTAGCGATATACTAACTCGTAGCAAGTCACTTGACCTTTCTGAGCCTTAGTTGCTTTATTTGTAAAATGTGGCCAAAACATTTTTCCTTTATATCTCCCATGGTTGCTGGGCTGATTAGTTGAAGTGATGAATTTGAAAGTGCTTTGTGATGCTGCAGGGTACATTGCTCACACATATAAAGGGTTATTATCTCTCAGATTCTAATTAAATATTCCTCATTAAGATATTGTGAAGGCATACGATAAAGCCTGAATTTCAGAATATCTTAAGAAAGAAATGTAGTCGTAGTTGTTATATGTGAACTAGAAAAGCAAAGCTGTACTGGAATATTTTTGCTAAGTAGAGATTTTTGGACCTATGTTAGTAGAAAATAATTGACTTTATATATTAAACTTACTGCATTCTTACATATAGAGTAAGGGCTTCTAAAGTTCAAAACGGCCTAAACAGTTTATTCTTAAATAATTTAAACATCCTTGCATTTTTGGAGTAGTCCATTTTAAGTTGTTCCATTTTGATTTTTGGGTTATCAAAGTCATTTTAATGATATTTTCATTATAAAGTACAATAGTAGTTTCCTTGAAGCCTATTTGCATAAAATTCACTCAGATTTTTGTGTCTCTCTATACATAGATGACAAAAATTTTCCAGATCTTGATAGACATGGGCCATGAGCTATTTTGTTATTCCATCTCAAGGAGGGGCTGTTGGTTAAACGTATTTTTTCTTATGACCCTGGAATTTGTGGTAGGCTTTCTATTTAAATTCACTCGATGACGTGGGCAAGCCATTAACTTCTTTGGGCCCATTTACTCAACTGTAAGAAGAGGTAATTAGTCTACATGATGTCCAAGGTCCCTTCCAGCTCTGAAACTTTAGGAGTTTTGAGGAACACTTGGAAATTTAGTATTAACTAACTTCCAGTTAGAAGGTGTTCATTATATGAGTCATGCAAGGGTAATCTCTCTCTCTGATTATTGAAGTTTCAAAACTAAAACACTGCCCAGTGTTATATTTTATTTTCAAAATTTCTTCATAGGTCTTTAATCTGTACTTAAAACCTACTCATTAAGAATATCCACAAACCTGGTCCTCCCAACAAACACAGAGTAGGTCTGAAGTTGTGACATTCAGTCTGCCAAGTTGAGTGAAAAGCTAGCTAGAGTGAACTAGTGAATGGAAGGGTATGGTCTACAGCCGTTTTCCCTTGCTTTCTAGTTCTTGTCAGTCCTGTGGTGACAAGACTCAGCAGAGTATTCAGAGCCAGTGATGAAGCATGATATTGAGCTTCAGGCTTTTTTAGCTTGGTCAGTTGTGCAGGAAGTTCAGCAGTAGGCAGGTCCATGAGGAGGCACTAAGCCATTTTGAAGGGAGAAATCTAAAGTCTGGGGATAAAGCCAAAGTGGGAATCCCAGATGAGACTCAGATGAATTTTCCCAATGAGATTGTTGTTCTCTCAGCTGGCTTTTACTGGCCCTACCTCATGCAGCATAAACTTGTTGAAAGTTATTTTAAAGGCACCGCATGACTGTGGAGAGCTTTTAGAATGCCCGACAAGGACAGGGATTGTGTTTTGGTATTTTTTGCTTTCAGCTTTGCAGAGTAGGTGTGCACTCAAAAAATGACTGTTTAATGAATGAATGAATGATCTAATTCTTTAGATCTCTACCCGCAAAGAGAGTTATTATAAGGATTAAGTAAGATAATGTAGATGAGGGTACTTTATCAACTATATATTGTTATAAAACGTTCAATTTTTATAATGACAATCATGATTACTGTAGTGGGCTAAATATGGAACCCCCCATAATACATCCATATCCTAATCTGCAGAACCTATGAATATTATCTGATATGATACAAAGTAATTACTTTATATGGCGAAAGATACGATTAAGTTAAGAATTTTGAGAGGAGGCGTTTATCCTGGGCTTTCTATGCGGATCCTAATTCTAACAATAAATGTCCTCATAAGGACGTTTTTATAAGAGTGAGGCAGAGGGAGATTTGTCAGACATAAGAGAAGGAGGCAATGTGACTACAGAAAGAGAGATTGAAGTGATGTGGCCAGAAGTCAAAGAACGCCAACAGCCATCAGAAACTGAAGAGACAGAGACTAGATTCTCCTCTAGAACCTCCAGAGGGAGTGTGGCCTTGCCAACACTTTAATTTCAAACTTCTGGTCTCCAGAGCTGTGAGGGAATACATTTCTGTTATTTGAAGCCACCCGGTTTATGGGAATTTGTTACAGCAACCCTAGGAGGCTAATATAATTATTAGTAAATAATCTACCTGCTCTCTTTGGATAAGATTGTTTCAGCTTTATTGTTGAGGATGAATAGAGGGATTTAGTGTAGAATTTTTTTTAGAAGTATGTAGAAACAATATTTACTTCTTAATTTTTCTCAGTGATGTGAAGAGGTCTTAGCTGAAGGAAAACTTAAAAAACCATATGGGTACAGGGAGGCCTGTGGATTGAGTTTAATGAGACTTAGCTAATTGCTCCAAAAGAAGGCCAATTTTCACCCATTTTACCTTATACTGTTGATCTAAAAGTAACTGACAACATAATCCCCCTGATTTTAAGGTCCAAATTCACCTTCTAAAGACTTGCTGACACATTTTAAAAAAGAAAGACCATGAATTCCCTAGGTCTGTTGATTAAAAATTCTGTGTCCATTTCTCACCCTGCCCCTTAAAAATTTCAGTTTTCATCTCGTAAATTATATTCCTTTCTCTGTACTCAGGCAAGATAATATTTTTATTAAAATGTAAAGGTGATTGGTTTTCTCACAGCACAGCTACAAGGTGCTCGAGGGGATGATAGATTGGCTATATTTAATGAGCTGTGTTTCTATTACAGCTTAGGAGCATTTGAAGCATTACAGTATATAAATTATAGCCTAATTGCCCTTTAGGCTTTAGTAGCTCAAAATATGCCAAGCTCCAGGTCTTCACACTTTGACATTTCTGCTGCATGTGCTGTCCATAAAGCCTGTATGCCTTATCTATGATTTTCTACACCTCCCCTGGTCTAGCCCTCCCTCTTTCTGGCTGCACTCCTTGGCTTCTTTTCCTAACTGTATTTACATAGACTCCCTTGCTCTTTACAATGTTTGGTTTGTGTAGTGACTTCAACACTGTCTTAGATCTGGAATCATACAAATGCTCTCATGACTGGCGGTCGCCTCTGCAGGTTATGGTGTGTGGTGGGCTGAGCTGTGAACACCAATGGGTGAGTGGCTACAGCTGGTTTTCATTTTGACAGAGAGAGAGAGAGAGAGAGAGAGAGAGAGAGAGAGACACCGAGACCACAAAGTCAACATAAAGGGAGAGATGATATTGAATTGTCTCCACTCAGTGAAATTATTCATGTTGGGAGAAGCAAGGTGGTTCACTGAAGGCTATGGGTATAGGGAAATGGTCTTGTTTCACCCCGACCAAGAAGTTATATTTTGAACCCTTTGAGAATTGGCTTTTATCCAAGTCTGCGTGTACCTGGCTGACTAGAAGGGAAGTATGTAGAGAGGGCTCTCAAGTTACCTGCTTTGGGAGACCAGAGCAGGCTAGAACTTTGAAGAATTCCCAGCCTGGCCTGCCTTTATCCAACCCACTTAATGGTGTGATATAAAAGAAAGAGAAAAAGGCAGTGGAGCCCTAGGCTACACGAAAAAGAAAGGAGCAGGGGTAGTAGTCAGGGAGTAGGAATGAGGCCAGGCAACTCTGGGAGGAGTTTGAGAACACAACGGACTGAAGAAAGTCAGCCTTCTTGTTGGAGGAACATACTGGATTCAGGGAAGCATAAGTGGAATAAGGCAGAAACAGAACCTAAGGCATGGGTAGAGAAGTGTTCCTCTAAAAATATCTCTGGTTGTTAAGTCATAAAACGTTAGAGCCAACTAGACCCACAGAAGTCATCTAGTCCAGTTCTTTCATTTTACATATGAGGAAATTGAGGCCCCAGAGATCAAATGAATTGTCCAATACTCCAGAGTTTATCAGAAGATTTGGGACTAAAAATGTATGCTCCTTGATTTCTTTTTATTTTTTGTTTGTATTTAATAGAGATGGACGCTCACTGTGTTGCCCAGGCTGGTCTTGAACTTCTGGGCTCAAGAGATCCTCCCGTCTCAGCCTCCCAGCCTCCTCTGGGACCAACTTCTGATCTGTTGTTATTCTTACTATGCTCCACTATCCCTTATAGGGGTTCAAAAGTAAGCCAGTCTTTCATATTCTCCTCATGCTGCGATCTTCCTTTTCCCTCCCCTTCCCTACCATCTGTGTTCCATTTTTACTGGAAATGAAATCAATGAAGTAAATGTTTTGAATGTTTAAATTCTACATTCTCAGGCCAATGGAGAAAGTAAATTCTTGAAAGTTATTTCTCTATTCTGAGAGGTCACCTAAGATATCTCATTCACAGGATGAGGAAAGTAGGATAAACCTAAAGATTTGTCTGCTCTCCACTTTGCAAGTAAATTACAATATTTTCTTCCTGAGTGTTTCAAACACCTCGAATCTCACATATTCATATTTCAAAGAATTTCTCCTTCTTGTGAATGAATGAATGAATGAATGAATGAATGAATATACAAAGTATTACACATTTACTGTGTACCAGGCATTTTGCCGAGTGTTTTATATGTATTATCTCATTGAATTCTCTCAGTAACATTATGAGGTAGCCTATTATTATCATCCCTATTTTACAGATGAGGAGATTGGGACTGTTGGGACTACAAGAGATTTCTTTGCCCAAAGTTCACAGCATTTGTTCATCTTAAGTCCTCATTACATCTTGTCTGGATAGCTATAATAACTTCTTATTTGGTTTCCCTGCCTTTAGTCTTGTCCTCAAATCCTTATTTGGTGAGCATGACCAGAGTAAATGCTTACAATAAACAACCAGTATGGCTGTACCACTGTATACGGAAAGAGTATCCTTCCCGTATACATAGATTCAAGAGTATGCTCGAATCTATCCTAAACAGAATTGTGAGAGCCTGTAACTTAACTGTCTTCAAAACTTTGGGTAGCTCCCTATTGCCTACAGAATAAAGTACAGATTTCTTAATCATGGCTTTTAATAAAGCCCTTGGGATCTGCTGTCATTGCCATCTTTCATTCTTGCCTGATTTCTACCTCTCATCACACAATTTATGTCCCAACCAATAGCTTGACTACTTACCATTCCCCAAATACTATTTTTCTGCTCTCTCTGCCTTATCTGTTTATACTTTCTCTTTGAATTCTCTACATTCTATTTCACCTTACTATAATCTAACCTATCTTTGTAGGCCAGGCTAGATATCAATTATATCCTTCACGGGAATGTTTCTGATACAAGGGAAAGTAAATTTTTACTTCCTTGTGTTGACACAGAGCTTATTTGTTTCTTTGTTTTGTTTTGGTATATCTTTTTTTGGCACCTAGCACATTTTACAAATTATATTTACATACATTTCTAATCTACCCTGATGGATTTTAAACTCCTTAAGACCAGAGACCATGTCTAATTCAACTTTATATCTCGCATACAGTGCCTGACACCTGGTTGTTTAATAAAGGTTTATCAAATTGAACTGAATATGTATTATAGTGATATTTATCATGGGGCTATTGCTATTCTACTCATTTTGTGAATTGAGTAACTGATGGACAGAAAGATTAACAGGTTTGGCTAAGGGATTCAGAGGCAATTTCAGGCCAGATCCAAATTCTCTTGACTACTAGTCAGTACCCCTTTCACAAGACCCTAAGGTGTTACCATAGGCTTTACCAGACAAGACCATGGGAAGGGGAACACACTTTCTGATCTTAACAGCCACATATTAAAGTGTCAATTCTGTGAGAAAGAAGCCCAAAACATGAGGAATTTTAGTTCTAATTGGATCTGGGTTAACATAAACTGGTAGGTCATTTTATTTTCTTTTTCTCTGAGATGTTGAGTTAATTAATACAATTTTTCTTTCTATTAGAATTGTCAATGGGCTACAAGGTAAGAATAATATTCTAGTTACTGCTTCTGGGGGGTGATTTTTCTCTCCTGTATGGAAAGCTACCACTATCTACCATGGTGACTGATAACAGTTCTTCGTAATATTGTGATTTATCTGTAACTTTTTCTTAAGAGTCTGTTTGAAAATTTCTCTCTCTGAGCTCCACATTTTAACCAACTCGATAGGCTACTTAGACACAGTGTTCTTTGAATCAGCCTGGACTGCTGTCCTTTCCCAGGCTTGGCTGTCGCTTTTTCCACCCTGCCTCTTCTCCCTTCCTTTTACCCCAGAAGAAACGCACAGTTACCTGAATGAAATCTAAAACTTGCTGGTGTCTTTGTTTGGCAGCTGCAACCTCGCTGTCTGAGATCGCTTCCCTGAGGGACTGTTGGGTATTCAGAGAATCCAGCTCCACAACAGCAGAAAGGCGGCAATACAGACTAATAAATTTCTCTCTGTAGCTGCAAAAATGAACTGGAAAATGGACAAGCAAAATAAAACATGTTAAGATCTGGTATCAAAATAGAGAAATTCATACCTCAGAGAAAACAAGTTGAATGAAAACATGATTTATTAATCCTATCAGTGGAAAATATTAAGCCATAAATAAATTATAAATGTGCTCTTAAGGGGCCAGTTGTCTGGCTTTAGTCAGACAGTATTCCCTTTTAAGGTTTACCAACTCCTAGTAAGGTATGGGGAAGTGGGGTTGGCTAAAGCTGCAGTTATGTGGACGTTTCCCTAAAGTTGGGGCTGAGTGTGTGTGTGTGTGTGTGTGTGTGCACGCACACACATATATACACACACATACTGGGAAAATAAGCTTGCTTATCACTTTAAAGAAAAAAAGCTAAGTAGCAATTTGAAACCTAGTTTTGGGTTTCACATCTGATTTCCAGTACATATCTTGCCTACTCCTTTCCAAGGCCAGAACCCCCAGAAGACAGAAGACATGCTTTTCTCAGAGTGTCTTTGGTCTGACTGCAAAACTTCCCCAAGGGCCTATTATGATAGGCTTTGATCCTCTTCTGCCTCTCCCCTTCTTGGCCCCTCTGGATGGATGATAAGAGCTGTTGCTGCCTGGACAGACCATTTTTTGCTTTCAGCAGACTTGGTTTTCTTCTCTCAACAGATAATGGGACAGAGACCACAGGAAAGAGTCCAGCCTTCATCTCCATCATTTCCTTTTTTTCAGGAGGAACAGAGCAGTGTAGGATTGAGCCTGGTGTAGGCAGCTTGAGATGGTCAGATTTCCTGTACTTCTCTGACCAGCTCTGATCATATACCGTAACTTCGGATTCTAGTAGGATGAGGAAAGCACCCTGTTGCAGACTATCATAGTACTGGCTTCTTCCTGGGCATTGATGAATTTGGAGACTCATTCTTCAAGAACCTCTTTTACTCTGTTTACCTCTGACCTATACCAGTGTGTTCCATGCTTTGGAAATAGGGCTGTTACCACTCACAAGTCTGTTGAAACATTTTTATTCTGGCTTCTTTAGCGAGGAATTCTAGGAAGAACATCTAATTACAGGTAGTAATTACAGGTAGTAATTAGATGTTGATTCCTGAGACCCAGATCTGGCCATTTAGGGAAGCTAAAACCACACTACCTCAAAATGGGGCATTGGTCATCTCTACACCTCAATGAGGAAGCCCTACTTTTCTGCATATTGCGAGAGATTTCTGTGCACCCTACAATTCCCATGTTACCACTGCCTACTACTTCCTTGCTTTCTTTTTCTCTGGGGATAAATCTTAGGTGAATGCCAGGGCAGTGTGCTCTGTCTTTCCTCCCATGGAAGTAGAAGAGAAGAATGGGGTGAGGGTGTGAGGGGTCCATCCTCACTCCAGCTATGCCTCATTTCAAGGAAGTGTTTCTCAACTTGGGAGGCCTCCGTCTTGGGTTTGATTTTTCTCTGTGGTGTCAGATCCTTCCTTCCCATCTTCTCTGCTCTGTTTAGCGCTTTGTTTGCCTGACACAGAGAACTGATTTCATATGCCCTCTCAGTAAATGACAAGCTATGGAGCTTCTCCCAAATGATCTAATTCTCATACTATTTCCCTGCTTAAAGACTTCTACAGAGCTCCCTCTGGACCTGAGGATAAAATCCAAACATCTCCCCATAAGGAAAGCTCCCTGCGATCTAGGATTTGAGTGTATTTTCAGTCACACCTTCCCTCATGCTGCCACCTTCCAGCCCTAGTTCCTCATCAGTCCTAAGCTTTGGTCAAGCTGAACTTACTACGAGTCCCTTTATACTTCCATGCTTTAAACATGCCTTTTCCTCCTCCTCACACACCTTTCTTTACTAATACCTCCAGGTCAACTTGTGATACGTAAATGTTTTCTCCTCAGCCAGGTTTTCACTGCCATCTCCCTGCCAGGTGGAACTAGTTTCTCCCTCTTTTGTGCTCCTAGATCACTTGTTTCTAAACATTTCATGACACTATCCTACTACATTGTACTTATCTGTTTACTTGACTGCCTTGGCATTAGATTGTGATTTCTTTGAGGGCAGGAACTATGCCTCCTATTAATTTTTATGTCATTGAAACCTGGAACATTGTAGCTTGTCAATTAAGGTTTATCGACCAAATGAGTAAATGAATAAATGCATGAACGGATCTTTGAGCTTTCGCCCGGAGGCTCCTCTTTTCTCCATTGTCTTTCCTTTACTGTGGGCTTGATTTTCTTGTTTGGAAAGGTGTTTCAGGTCTGTGATATTTCCTGGCAGCTCCACAGGAAGGAATCACCACGACTTTTTAGCTTACTCTTGACCCTGGTAGCTCCCTGAGCGTGTCTTTATGACTTTCAAGGAGGGATTATGTCCTGTTAGCACTTGACAGATGTCCTCTCTTGGCTGGAAGTGATGAGAGTGAAGTGTCTCATACCCTGCCTTTCTAAACCAAGTGGTAAAAAAAAAAAAAACTGGCTTTTTTCCCCTTTCCAAAATATGACTGGAAAAATAGGGAGAGGCACCGAATAACTTCTTTAAAAGAAACACTATCAGTCTGATGTGAATTCTTACAAGCTAGGGTGGTCACAGCTTTCTCTTGTTGTGTCTCCGTGGTGGGAGCCTTGGATCAGTGGGTGGTCTCACAGCACCCACACCGTCCATGCCATGCACCACAAGTGAGTTATGAGGAGGTTTCAACTATAACACTTCAGTTTCCCCACTCTTGTGGGTTTTTTTTTTTTTTTTAATCCAGACCCTTTAATGTTACTTTAACAAATGTTACTTTAACATAGTCTTTTGTGGTTTAGCAATGATACATTTGGTAGCCATAACCGAGGCAAGAAAGATAGACTGGAAGCTTCTAATTTTTAAAAATGTGAATCTCAGGCATTTTATGGATAAAATGGTATAAGGCTACAATAATGTCATTAGCTGGACCACATGATTTGTTAGTAATTCACAGACTAAGACGAATTTTCTGTGGTATTTTTCTCCCTCTTTTTTCTACATAAGATAGTGGCAGACTAAAATAAGGTTGGCATCAACACTAGGAGTATAGTACAGTGGAAAGTACATGGGCTTAGCTATCTGACAGACCTGGGTTTGAACCATACTTCTGCCACTCACCACCTGTGTGACAGTGGGCATGTGACCTCTGGGAGTCTCAGTTTTCTCATATCTAAGACAGGGATTATAATGTCTACCTAGGATTAAGTAATACAATGTATATAAAGTGCCCAGCATAGCATATGGCACATACCTGATACAAAATAAATGTTTGTCCCTCCACCACACCTTTTCACCACCCGTGAAGAATGAGGCATTTAGTGGTAGTGATTAGAATATTAAAACAGGACTGGGATTAAAATAGTCTTTCTAAGGATATCGAACTCACTAAAATCCTAATCAGTCTGGGCCATGTGGCCTAGTTTGGAAGCCAAAGAGTCAACGAGATAACCTCCTGGGGTCAGTTTAGTTCAATGAGTCTTTGCCAAGGTGTCAGAAAGAACTGGGGCACAAGGTGCACCTCTAAAGATTCCTAGTAGTGAATGAGTTGACAGGTGGAATAAATCATGTAAAATAAATCATGTAAAATGGGTATTAGGAATGAAGGTTGACACTATGCCATTTCTCGCAAGCCTGTGGCCTGAATTCCATTAGGCTCACTGCTTGGATATTCCATAGGTTCCTTGAAACTCATCATTTTGTCATACTGACCTCATCATCATTCCCCTGCCCCAAACCTATTTCTCCTTCCTATGGCCCATTTCGGTAGATGGTAACATTATCCGTCTAGGCACTCTTATACAGACTCTCTGGCTCCTTCATCTTGCTCTTCAGCCACATCAAATCAATCACAAAGTTCCATCATTTTAACTCCTAAATTCCTCATCTCTCTGCTCTCTCTTCTATACCCCCACTGAGGCTGCCTTGGTTTGGGCTCACGGACCCATGAGATATGACCAGGTGGACCAGCGAGGTAGTCTCTTACTATTTACCCGCGAGGTAGTCTCTTAATTTCTTAATTGTCTCATTGTATCCAATGTCAGCCTGATTTATTTGTTTTTTACTCTCCTGCAATCAGTCCTTCATGAGCTGTCAAAATCTAATAAGACCACATCATCCCTTTTCTTAAAATCTTTTCTTTGCTTCCTATTGCCTATGGGATAAAGTTGTACCCCCTTAGTGTTACATAAGTAGCCATGTATGATTTTGATCTTTTAAACTTTTAGCTTCATCTTCTGTCACTCTTCCTCAGGTGCCTTAAGCATTCATCAGAGTGAGCTACTAAGAGTGTACTTAATCAAGCTGCAGGTCTCTGAGCTTTTGTACATACTGTTCCTTCTGCTCAAAATGATTTTCCTTTTCTGCCCGCCTTTTCTTTCCCATTCTGAATGTCTGTTTATCCTTCAAGATACAGCTCAAGTATTATCTCTGCAAGGAAGAATTAGATGTCTTTCCTTTGAAACTCAACAGCCTGCCTCGTATAGCACTGCTTTCGTTTTATGAAGACTATCAGTAGGGATACCTATATCCTCTAATGGATTTTGAGCTTGTGATGGGCAGATGGTGCCTTATTAATGTCTGTGTGGTTCAGTCCCAGCACAGTACCTGGCATATAGCAGAAGCTCAGTAAATGTTTGTTGAACGAAGGATGTAGCCAAGCACAAGCCGAGCATGAAATATATAATACCAGGCCTCAAACTATTATTTTTTAAAATTCCCTAGTTTTTTTGTCTTTCTAGTCCAATTGGTGTAAATCATAAAGCCAAGGAAATCAACAAAAACCAACTTTCCTTGTTATAGGCCTGCTGTCAGTTGTGAGCACCCACAAGGTCAGGGCAGGGTGACCTCCTCTGTGCAGGCTAGGCAAGTCTTCAAGAGGCCACATCACCTGATAGAGTTTCTAACGGCTCATGATGCTGCTTTTCCTTCTGTTCCTGGGAACTTTGTAAACAGTGATGCTTGTAGGCCCCCAGAGACATGCTTTATTACTGCAAAAGGGTCCTATCCTGCTCCCACACAAAGGATGGTGGAATGTCAACCTTCAGGCTGTGGAAAGAGAAGTGAGTTTTTGGTGAATCTGCTTTGTCCCAGCTCAATCTTCCTCATCCAGGTCTCACAACATCCTCCAATAGGACAACTTCTCTTGACCCCGCAAGTAATCCTATGAAGGAATAGCCTGTGGGTTTGCTGCAGTCTAGTCCTTATTCTAGGAGACAGAGAACTAAGCTCCTTTATCATTTTGTTTTTGCTAGATCTACGCAGTGCTGGAATAGGCAGAGATGCAGTTTCCATAGCTGGTTAGAAAGTCATTTATGATTCACTTAGGCCACTGGCAGAAACAAGGTCAGTTTGCCAAATCTCAAATTATTTCATGGGGACAGGGATGACTTATACAAGTCAAACTGAAATATAGTGCAACCCTTTATTCTATTATAATTTACATATTCCCATAATTCACACCTTTTTAAGTTTCATTAGAATTCCCATGTGGTTATTAAAATTTTCTGAGTTCTGACTGAATTTCCAAAAACATTTTCTCCTTTCTCAGAAATGCTTAGTGTATCTCTTGACCCTTTACTGTGTAACTACCTATGAATGGAATTTCCTACTTATAGAAAAAACAATGCTTAGCATCCTTCTTAGAGAGGCTTAGGTCCACTGTAGCAGGCCCTTGGAAGTTCCCATATAAGGTGTCACTAAATGCTTAGTGGCCAGATGCCTAATGGAGGAAGTAGTTATGATAAACTTCCTCTTGGAAAGCTCTGATTGCTTGGGGATAAGATGGAGTTTGTCATGATTCTTACTGAGACCAAGGCCCAGAAATGTTTTTGAAATTGTTGCTGGTGGTGCTCAAGTACAATAATTATTGTATTAGAGCATGTATTAATTTTCTGCTACTGGCAACGTTTCTTCTGGTCCCTAAAAAAAGACTAATAGAATTGTTTATGCCCATGGAACTGAGCCCAACCAAGTGGTCTTTTCTGGAAACTTACATGGTCCTCATTAATCAGTTGGATGACCAATGATATGGCAACAAGGGAGGACTAAGAAGGTGAGAAAGTATTCCTTACTCTAGGAAAAACCATCTTAAAGTCAGGCTTTGATGTATGGCCTATTTTTCATAAATGGAAGATAGTATCTGATGCTCTCATATTGCTTCTAGCAATGTGAAGAGGTAAAACAGGTAAAAAGGACAGGCACAATTGAATTTGGCTGAATTCCTGTGTTAACCACATCTCTAGTTTTGTATTTATGTATTAATCTCTTTGTCATAGGCAATACTACTTAAATTGTGGTCCATGGATTGGCAGCTTTAATATTACCTGAGAACTTACTAGAAATGTAAATTTTCCAGCCTCCTGCTGGGACTACTGACTCAGCATCTCTGGAGTTGGGCTCCAAGAATTTGTATTTTAACAAACTCTCCAAGTGATTCTTATGCAGGTTAAAATTTGAGAAGCACCGTTCTAGGGCTATCATATCCCAAAGTATATGTTCTACGGATTATTAATAGGTCCCATGCAAAACATTGCTCTAATCATGGTCAAATGAATTTGGAAAATGCTGGGTTAAACAAAGTTGAGCTTTAAAAATTTTTTTTTAAATTTTTTATTTTTTAGGGGGATGCCCACTGGATTTTACAGAGCTTTTCATATGTTACTCTGCCACTCAAAATCCTTCATTGGATTTCCAACATACTTAAAGTAAAATCTAAATTCCTTATCATGGCCTGTGAGGCCCTGCATGGTCTAACTCCCATGACTCTCTGACCTCATCTCTTATCTTTGTTGCTTTTGCTTACTACACTCCAGATATGCTGATCTCTTAGCCAAGCACACTCTTACTCTAAGGCCTTTGCACTTACTGTTCTCATTGATGGGAAATATTAGGTCTCTGCTCAAATGTTTCTTCTTCAGAGAGGCCTTCCCAGATCACCCAGCTGTATAAAGTGCAGCTTACTTCACTCGAGTCCCTTATCCAGATTTATTTTTCTTCATGACCTTCACTTCTCTGATATCTATAATATTATGGTTTATTGATTGGTTTGTTACTTGTCTCTTCCACTAGAATGTAAGCTCTATGAGAAGTTTTTTCATTGTTGATTCTTCAGTGCCTGGAATAGTGCCTGGCACATAGTAGGTTACTCAATGAATATTTATTTATTGATGAATGAATGAAAAACTGAATGAAGAAAAGAAATGGATGCTAACAGACTTCACCAAATTATAGAATGGAGAATAACAACAGTGGGACAAAGGGTGGCTACTCAGGAAGAGTGTGTGAGCCTCACAGGAACAGACTAGAGAGGATATTTGCAAGGCTTGGACCTTCAGGGCCTTAGGAGTCACATGTACTCTAATCTAATGATTGATACCAAGTTGTAGACTGTTCCCACCAAAGCCATTGAGGCATGGGGGAATGAATTTCATGTATTTTTGCCTGTAATCATGGAATAACAATGACTGTTTAACACAGAATGGAATCCTGGTTAGCTCTCCAATGAAATGTTTTCTTTAATTCTTTTCTCTGTCAATTATATATCCCTGGGAAATCATTCATTTTCATGGTTTCAGCTGTTATTAATAGACACTGGACAGATTTCTGTGTTTAGTATCCAATTTCTCTCCTGCATTTCTACTGCCAGTGAAACATGTCCACTTGGATGTTGACTTAGCACCTTTAGTCTCAACATATTCAAAGCTAAAAGCATCACTTCCTTCAGCAAACTATTTTTCCCCTGTGATTTCCTTACTTCTGATAAAGGCAGCAATAGCCTCATAGTCATTGAAGCTGAAAACAATGAGATTATTCTCTAGACTTCTCTTCTCATTTAAATAGTTACCTACTTTTGGGCAACTTTTTTTTTTTTTTTTTAAATATCTATATTTCTTTCTTTTTTTTTTTTCTTCTGTTTTTGGTTCCTACCCTAACACTGGATGAATAAAATAATCTTTGAAGTTTTTGACCTCTGCTTCCCATCTATCATAAACAGATTCCCCAGCCTGATGCTGGAGATATTGCTCAATATGGCCCCACCTTGTCTGTACAGATTTATGTCCCACCTTTTCCTCACATTTCTCTGATCTAGCCAAACTGGACCACTTATTCTCTTCCCAATTCTTTCTGAATTCTTCTGTTTTCATGTTTTTGCTCATTCTACTCGCCCCAAAAGAAACCTTTTCTTTTTGTTTATGTTTATTAACATCCTGTTTGTTCTTCAACACCCCATATCAGATATCCTCCCCTCCATGAAGGTTTTCTCATATCTTCTTTGAGAAAATGTGCTTTCTTTCTTTCAATATTAACACTTCCAATTTCTGGCATATTCTTCCTTGTTTTATAATAATTTGTATTCTTATTTTACTCCTGCCACCATACGAAAACCCCTTGAGGGAAGAACGTTCGTCTTACTCGCCTCTAAATCTCCACAGTGGGCACCCAATAGACACTTATGGAAATACCCTGCCCCAAACAGTGTTGTTATATTACAGACTAAAAATGCTTTTTGGCTGAAGAACTCATTAAATGGTCACATTCACATCTAGGCCTCTTGGGAGTGGTATGGCCAATGTGATTAATTGTGTGACACAGAAAAAGTGTAGAAAGGTTAAGCAATTGCCAGTGTCATACAATAGGGAAACTAGGACTCTCAAGTCCCAGTCTACAAGTCTGATTTGAGCTTCTTGTAAGAATACTCCCTCCTCTAGAAAGCAACAATTGCTGTTCATCAGCTTTTGGGCATCTGAAGTGCTTGGAGCAAGGGAAACTGAGAGGCTTAAGCAAATCATCCTTGAGGGATAAATTCAGACGCAGATGCCCAGGGCTCAAATGAGACATCAGGCAACGGCCTTGTCTGCTTTTAAGTCTGGTGACTGGGGAGCAATCCAAAGAGGGTCTGCCTCCATTCCACCCACCCACTCACTCACCCTCCTGCAAATGGTACAATTCATTTGAACTGACTGAACTCTTGCTAATTGCCTCTTACTGGCCTGTTTCAAGATGAAGCATGGGAAGGGGACAAAGCCTCCCTATTCACAATCTCAGTGGGCAGCAGGGGTCTCTGCAAAAGTAGAGAAACTGGAGCCCAGGCTATTCATTTTTGAAAGTCAGGACAAGATCTTCCACCATTCAGAATCCCACATTAAAATCACAATATTGCATCCTGGGGGACCCTGTCCATTTCTCAAATGGTCTGTCAGAAATTTAGAGTCTATTTAATAAGTCAGTGCTACTTAAAATTATAGGCTTTTTTCGCCTCCAAAGTGATACACACTCTACATTTTAATTTCATTATTATTTTTTTCTCTGGTTGGGGGTGTGGGGAGGGTGAGAGAGAAAGGGAAGAAAGGAGAGAGAAAGGAAGTGGGGAGAGAGAGGGAAGGGGAAAGAGAGAGAGAGAGAGAGAGAGAGAAGGGGCAGTGCTTTTCATGAAAACATCGGTTTTTATATTTATGTTTTAAGAAAGCAGAAGGGAGGCAAGAAGTCCAGCCTGATAACTGAACTTTCTGTTTAGAATTCCTTCTTCTCCATTGGGCCTTTGCTAGGTTTCAATAATTATTGCTCAGGCACATAGTCTTGGAGCTTTGCTTTTTCTCAGACTTGTACACAGTTCTAGGAAGGGTTGTTGCCAAAGCCATCATGTGATTTATTGACCCTCCACTGGGACAAGGGGGAACAGATATAACTTTGTGATTTTATTATAAGGAGGCTGGGTTAATATTTCTAGGTGAAACAAGCTACTATACCAAGTTCAAACATCTGAAGAGGGAGGTTAAGAAACCCTGAGTGTGGGGTGTAAGGATTATTCTGTCCTGGGGCTGTACAGACGTCGTCTGAGGCAGGGAGCAGGAGAAGAAAGGACACATTGTGACCCATTTCCAACACCTCCTGTGTGTAGAGGCGGAAGTTCCTTGCCTGCAGAGGGACACGCGCGGAGGAAAAATAGGAGAGTTACAACATGGCACTTACATAAACAACACCAAACTGGCATAAAACATCTAACAAAATTACACAACTTCAAGCTTGGAATTTTTATACAACATAAATATTAGGGTTCAGCCCATTTAATAATGCTATATAAAATCAAGATTTAAGGCAGTAATGTTCCACATAAACTCTGAAAACAACATTTATGCTTCTTATAAAAGCAGAAAATGATTGCATTCTGTGGGCTTTTCAAAATGATGACTATAATTACATGAAGCAACAAAAATGGATTGAATTAAAAATCCACTCGTTTCAATTTAAGCTGGTTAAGGGGGAAAAACGTAGTTTCTGGCCAAGGACTGAGAAAATTTTACAAGTATCCAAAAAAAAAAAAAAAAAAAAAAAGTTGTATGCACTCTTAGGCAGTTAGGCAGCCTTCTCCCAACATGTATATGTAGCCCAAGAGTCACCAATGAAATACGAGCTGCTTCAAACCTGCTAAGTCCAAGAAACACTTTAATAGTATCTACTGTCACAAGTAGAGCTCTTACTTTTTTTTCCTCCTAGTGAACACACAGCCACCCCTAGAATAATCCAGTTGCTTCCCTATTGTCTTTACGGCATCTTGTGCAATTTAGTCTTGATTAGTGTTGGCTGCTTTAGACTTAAAATCAAAAGAGCACCCCAATAGAAGGACATTCTTAGAACTCGAATTTATCCTTCTGTCTCCATGGGTTAGAGGCCAATTCATGGTTCTCTCTTGTATTTAAAAAGAGCCCGTCACTCCTATAATGGTCTCCCAGTTAACAGGCTAAACTTGGTTCACTCTGTGTGTGTGTGTGTGTGTGTGTGTGTTTTGGGGAGGGAGGCAGGATTGATGAACATAGGCCCCCCCAAAAAAATTCAATAATGCTACCTCATGTTAACCTATTGGGCAGAGCCTAACAAAGTTTTACTATTTTCCTTTATGCCAACAGTTTTTCTTGAAGTTGCTTATTAGTGGAGGTTAGATTTGTATATTTTGATTTAGATATGACAATAATTTTGACAGAAAGTTCTCTGGGAAAAAATACCATGGCATATCCTTGGGACATTGCTGTAGATTATAGCACCATCATCCTTCTATTCTTAGAGAAATCGTTTGTACACGTGAGTACACCTTTATTTATTTGTATGTTCTCTTTGCTTTATGCTATCTTGAAGCCTTGAAGCTGAGCCTGGTTGGCTTTCAAGGTAGACTAGTCATTGATTTTTTTTTTTTTTGCCAACCAGACCATAGTTCAGTGGGGTCCAGAAAACGTGGACAAGGTCCAACACAGAGGAGCTGGAGGAAAGGAGAAGAAGTGCAGCCTGTGTCTACCTGTGGGCATCAATTCAAAACGTGCATGGACATGCAAAGTGGTGTTTAAGTAAAGGAAAATTCACACACATACACACACACACACACACACACACACCCACACACACCCCAGACTTAATGTTACAATGCAGTTTCCATGAGCCATAAAAAAAGAAGATAAAAATGGTAAAGTCTAGTACCTGGTGTAGAGGTATATTGATCTGCTGAAGGAGAGCTTTCACTGCCATCTGGAGCTCGTAGAAGAACAATTGCATGGGGCAGTCAGAAGTATGATCCACACTTTCCATAGATTCAGAGCCAGAAAGTTTTTGGATCCATTCCCATTCCTCTCTGTATGTTGAGTCAAGTTAAAATTAGAAATACAACAAAAGTTCAGAACACGGCTCAGAACTTTCTTAGTGTATGTATCCAGAACCTGGATAACCAATACTCGGTGGTGAAAACTCAGTGTGATTCATGAAATTTGAACGTTTTGCCACCCAAATGGAGCTTAAAATGATCTCTTGCTAATTTCAGCTTAGTGCACCTATGAAACCACATATACCTCAGAACAGCAGGCCTAATTTGTATGAATCAGTTTTTGAGATTGGGGTTCTCAAATATTTTGTAATAATTTCCTGACTGTCCTCATTTTTCTTTCTCTGCAGACCCCCTGTAAATTCTAAGATCCTACATTTTACCACAGGGGCATCTGCTAGCTAATTCTGCAGTTTAGTAACCACAGGACTCTGGTCCAACTCAGGCAACAAACCACTTGGCACATTTCAACCCTGGCCTGTTGTAATCATGGAGGATATTTTGGTTTTTCTCCCCTTCCAAAAGTTTGAGGAGAATCACAAACAGGAACACCAGACAATTCCAATACAAGGAACCAAGGGATGCATATCACTGCTTCTATCCTCCTTACGAACCAGTCATCTGTGTCTTTATTCTGCATACTCTATAATCCTTCCTAATGAACTTTTCCAAATGTCACACAGAAGGGAAGGGAAAAGAATGGCAGGGGGAGGAAAGCACATCTGGTTTGCCCCCAAAGACTGCTCTTCAAAAGGAGCTTGAAAAGATCAAGGTAAAGGCCTCTTGGGTAACATTGTTTCCACAGGTCTTTCAGCACAAGTCTCTAAACACATTCAGTTGGCCCAGTTTCTCCTTGGAACTCTGCAGGGAGCAGCAGTAGGCTCTCAGGAGCAGGCTAGAGAGGAAAGGAAAGCCCTCCTTTCAGGGGATGGAAAGAGAGGAGGTGCTGACATAGGTTCCCACCCTAGTGAAAACTCTCCGAGGCTTTCCCCAAAGGGCTGTACCAGCCTGGGCTCCAATCTGTGGGTCAGAACACCAAATTGATTGTGGCATGAGCTTTTCATCAAAAACCACTCTCTTTTAACTAACTACCCTCTTAGAAAAGTTTCTGTTTTCAAGATATCTGTTTCATTTCAAGTCTCACACTGGACAAGACTATGGAAAATTTACCCTTTGTCCCATTAAGAAAAAAAAAAACCTCAAAATTAATTCCTACTTCAATCTGGGCATACTGTTGGCTTCACAAATAATTGAAATCTTTGAGAACCTGCTTGGGAACTATTTTTTTTTTCTCCCATCACTGATACGGAACAAAATGAGAGTTTTGTGACTAGCATATGCACTCATAAAACCTAAAGGACAACAAGGCTAAAATAGGGTTTGTAATCAAGGTAGAAAATAAATTACCGGTAGGACTATCGTGAAACACCTACCACTAATCAGTTTCTGCTAGAAGGATGAAGGAGATGGAACTGACAGAGAAAAGGTTACTGGAATCTTTTGTACAAATGAAAACTGGATCCTTGGCAAGGGAAAATTCACTGGTATAACCACTAGGAGATGGAGTCTAAGCCTTTAAGACACAAATCTAGAAAATGGATGAGTGTAATTATTACTAAGTCAACCCACAAATGAACCATGTAACCTTTTGGGAAGGACTGAGGCGATAACGAATGTTGATTGTGGCAGTGACCACCAGATGGCAGACTTAAAATCCAGGTGTAGTTGGTAAGTGAAAGGAGAGAATATGGTAGTGAGTTCCCTCCTCCTCCTCCTCCTCCCCTTCCTCCTCCTCCTCATTTCCTCCATTGTCATCAAGCAATACTTAAGAAACCTAGTGAGACATTAGAGTTGATAAAGTCTTGCCACTTTAGGGATCACATTTTAAACGACCAAATTAGAGTCTCCTTTGGCTAAGCAAATCCATGAGTGTAACTGGAATCTAGTTTATACTCTTTGGGAGTATCTAGTTTATGCCCTTTGAGGTCTGAAGAATTCTGGATAATTTCTTTTTTTTTTTTTTTCTTGTCTATTCCTCCCTTTCCTTTTTTTCTTTTCTTCTCTTTCTTTTTTTATGTTGAGCACAATTCAGTTCATTATAGCAGACTTTCAGAGGCCTGCTATGAGGGTTGTAAAGTTGAGCCAGATTACCAAGATTGGGCAACTTTCCCAAAGCTAACAGGGTAATTCACCAAATGCCAAACTGTACAGCAAGTTTCCAGAAGCTCAGGCCTTGTTACTTCTTTTCTTCCATAGAGAATTATAGGGGTTGTAGAAAACATACAAGGTCCTCAGGCCAGAGGGTTAGAGTTAGGGAGAATGAGGGTGAGGAGATATTTTAAGATAGGGAGAATCATTGGCTCTATAAAACCCATTCCTATAGGCCATATATAAAAACAGAAAACAAAAAGAACATGACTGTTTTAGATTACACAGAAAATATCCTGTAAATAGCAATGTTGAAAGAAAAGGTCAGCTGTTCAGTAACCAATTGAACATCAATGGTTGTACCATGAGTAATGCAGAGAGGAATGTGAAAGGACAGTGTCCTCTTTAATGGGCTCATGCCTTCCACCAACCATCAGGCAAGCTCTCGTAATTCTAGCGTTAAAACTAAACTCTGGCCGGGCACGGTGGCTCACGCCTGTAATCCCAGCACACTGGGAGGCTGAGGCGAGTGGATCACCTGAGGTCGGGAGTTCGAGACCAGCCTGACCAACATGGTGAAACTCCGTCTTTAACTAAAAATACAAAATTAGCTGGGCGTGGTGGCACACACCTGTAATCCCAGCTACTTGGGAAGCTGAGGCAGGAGAATCATTTGAATCAGGGAGGCAGAGGTTGCAGTGAGCTGAGATTGCGCCATTGTACTCTAGCCTGGGTAAAAAGAGTGAAATTCCATCTCAAAAAACAAGAACAACAAAACAAAACACAACAAAACAAACAAACAAAAACACCCAAAACTAAGCTCTGCCCTGCTCCAGTGTGGCACCTGAGGACACCTCACCGTAAAAACTGCACTGGGAAGTAACACTTCAGTTTCCTTCTGGAACATCAAGTTGGTCATTTGAGCTACTGTTTCATCACAAGGAAAATCTTAACTCCTGATCACTTACCTAGAAATGTTATTGTTTTCACGGATCTTTACGTGGCAGAGAATGTTGGGCAACTTCTGGGTAACGAGAACTTTGATTTGATCCACAGAGCTACAGAGCTTTAGGTAACCCAGATATAATCCAGGAGAGAGACGCTGATGACTCCTTTTGTGATAGGAGAGAATATCCTGTAGAGTAGAAAAAAAAAAAAAAAGAAAACAAGAAAACACCTTGAAGGGCAATCTCAAAACCTTTTCCTTTCTAAGGCAGGCTGGTCATGGATGAAAGGAGCTGTCACTAAGTAATTAGGTGAGAAACCTCAGGTATACCATGAATGCTGGGGAAGTGGTGGCACAGCTACTGTTACCTTCAGGGGAATTCTCCTCTTGGCCAGTAATCAGTTTTTAATATATTCTATATGCTTATTTGCCTAAGATTTCTGTGCCAGCGTAGATGTGTGAGTTGTGTTTGGGAATAGGTGGTGGTGGAGGCAGCTAATAAAGAAAAATAGAGTTGATAATTTCTGTCCTTGAAGATTTTAATGTTTAGCTGTGAGAAACAGATATTTGCAAGTGTAAAAGCTGACAGAACAGTTACGGAAGCTTTGTAATTTCTGGATTGTTAAAATGGAAAAGTCGTTTAAGTAAAACGATTTAAAACAGAATCCAAATTTTACAGTAAGTAGGCTCCTTATCTTGAAAATTAAAAAGGTACTGCCAAGAGGTTTATTGAATTTTATGTTAACATTTAAGTTGTAGCTATAATTATGCACTAATTCTGAGAATGAAGAAAGAGTGAATCAAGCACTGGTTCTTTTTTGGCTTAATTTTTAAAACTAAATTGTATGATAGCTAAAATGCTACTACTTATATTTGACTTTTAAAATGTAATGATGAAGAAGATAATGTTTATAAAAGTATTTGAAGTCTTCACATTTTTTTTCCTGGCATCTTTTACAAAATGTTGATATTCAAGTCACACTCTTATGAAATCCTTGTTCGTGTTATGTTTTGCAATCCTTAACTGGTCTACCACTTCTAGAGTCTCAGTTGTTAGTGACTTTGCATGTTATTTGATTAGGTCTCTACATCATCAGCTTCACTGAATTATGTATCTTTTTTTTTTTTTTTTGTGAACACTATTTTATCTCATTTTTACATTGACAGATAATACTGTATGTGGTTACCTGAATTATGTATCTTTTACAAGATTTTAAATTTTTCCCTGTAATGGATTTTCATTGAATTTGCATTCTATTGTCACATCATAATATTCCAAAAGCAGCAGAGACTGAACAAAGCTGTTGATTCAATAGTAAGTGTCAACCAAGTTAAGTACAGGGATGTTTAAATGGAATCTTATTTTTTATGTGGTCAGTTCTCCAGTGAACTATTTGGGTTGTGACTTTTGATTCTCTCTACAACTGCAGGGACTCAGATAATGAATAATTACAAGATTCAGATACCATCCCCCCATATCAGTAGGTACAACTTTTTACATTTAGGCAGTGGGGGTTGTGACACAAAGTTAGGAGTGGTGAATCAGGTAACTTAATATGGTTTGGATTTGTGTCCCCACCCAAATCTCATGTTGAATTGGAAGAGAGGCCTGGTGGGAGGTAATCGGATCATGGGGGTGGGTTTCCCTCTTGCTGTTCTCATGATAGTGAGTTCTCACAAGATCTGATGATTTAAAAGTGTGTGGCACTTCCTGCCTCACTCTCTTTCTCCTACTCTGCCATGGTAAGACGTGCTTGCTTCCCCTTCACCTTCTGCCATGATTGTAAGTTTCCTGAAGCCTCTCAGGCATGCTTCCTGTTAAGCCTGCAGAGCTGTGATTCAATGAAACCTCTTCATAAATTATCCAGTCTCAAGTAGTTCTTCATAGCAATGTGAAAATGGACTAATACACTTATTATAGGAGAAAGTTTCCTGTAGGTTAGAGCATATCCTGGTTTTCAAAAAAGCAAGGGTTAAATAACTAAGAGAGTAAAGTTCAAGTGCCTTACCACAAAAAAAATGATAAGTAAGTGAGGTGATGGATATGTTCATTAGCTTGCTTCAGTCATTCTACATTGTATACATATATCAAAACATCAGTTTGTACCCCACAAATATATTAAAATATAATTCATCAATTAAAAATAATACCAATGAAAATAAATATTTTTTTGAAAGGGTAAGGTAAAGGGAATCAACTCTACCATTAAATTCAGGGAAGGTGAGAAAACAAACATTGAAATGTCTATAGAATTCTATATGGAATGGAAAAGTATGGGATCTTCCTTGACCATCATACTCTGAAGGAGTGATCTTTCCTCTGTTGAATTAGCCATCTGCAACATCTAACAGATGTTATTATGTATTGTTTCCTCTGTCTCATCCTTTATCAAACACATATTGAGTCCCTATAATGTGTCAGGCACCATGTGAGACATTGGGGTTTTAGGTGAATATGATGTCATCCCTACTTTTGAGGAGGTCAAAAAGGACAAGTTAACAGATGATCACAATATATTGAAATCAGTTTTATAATAGAGGCAATGTTGGCATACAGCAGAAGGAGTACTTATATTTTTCTTCTTTTGTGTTATTTTCTTGAACTGGACTGTGAAATTAATGGTAAGGCTATGTTTTTCGTTGCTTTCTGTCCTTAGTACCCAGTACTTTTCTGTACTATGAAATTATGGTAAGGCTATGTTTCTCATTGCTTTGTGTCCTCAGTATGCAGTGCTTTTCTGTATAAAATAGGTATACAACATGTGGAAAATTAGGCTAGATACCTTAAACAGACCATAAGGGAATAGTAGAAGAGGGATAGAATAAGAATGGTCACAACTGGGAGAAACATCTAATGAGCATGCACAGAAAAGCAAAATCTAAACAATTTTTTAAAAGATCACTTGGCCAAAAAAAAAAAAAAAAAAAAAAAAAAAAAAAGGCTAGAAAAAATTTGATCTCATGATCAAGAAGGAATTCTTATTAGTACCAGGACAGATAAGGCTGAACTTTTTAATGTCTTCTATCCTGTCTCTTCAGCCTAGATCACAAGTAAGTAGTTGACTACAATAAATTCAGTCAAGGTGGAATTTGGGAAATGAGCACTAATCAAAGGGAAAGAAATGGTTAATGAGGAAAGGAAAAATGGAAGTATTCAAATCCACTGAATTTGATGATATGCACCCTAGGGATACTTGCTAAACAAGCAGATGTGGCTACAGACTCACAAGTCATTATTTTTGAGAAGTCATGGAGAACTAGAGAAGTCCCTAAAGACCAGAAAAGGACAAATATGGCTGTCTTTGAAACAGGAAGGGGAGAAACATAGAATGACCCTAGTAATTAAAGACTGCCAACTTATTGATCTTTAGGAGAAATGAGAAAGAACCATCAAACAATCAATTTGCAGTCATCCAGGAAATCTGGAGACACTAAAGAGGAGTCAGCATGGTTCTGTGAAGAGCAAACCATACAGATTACCTTAATTTATTATAGCAATAGAACAGGATTCCAAGACCTGGGAGAAGTCTCCAGTGTAATCTGTTACACTGGATAACATGGGAAAAATAGAATCTGGACCATGTTGCTTTTACCAAGCTGAATATCTGGGTGGGAGATTTGTACATAATGGAGATGGTGAATAAATAGTAGACATATTATTGAGTGATGGTCCAGTAGGGATGAGGACCCGTCTGTTCAGCTTATTTACTGACATTCTGGACAAAGAAATCAAGAATGTGTGCATCAAATTTGTGGGTCCCAAATTTGGTATGGTTTTGCCTTTCTGGAAAATAGTAATCAAGTTCTAAATGACCCTATGCATTGGAAAAATAAGCCTATGATAATTAGGGTTGAAACTTAATAAAATGTGCTTGTAAAGACCTACGCCCAAGATTACAAATATAGGATAGGTAAGAGTATCAGAGAAAAACATGTGGAGGTCAGAACTGACCACAAATAGAATGTGAGTTAGAAGTACACTGTGGTTATATAAAAACCAACAGCATTCTGGGATAAAGTAATTCACTCTTTCATTCAATTTTTTAAAAGACTATCATTGAGCATCTACTCCGTGTTTTCTTGCCTTTATGTTGTCATTTTTCCTTCTTTAAAATGTTTTGGAGCCTGAAAAATGTGTGGGAATGGAAAGAAGCTATCTCATCCACATAATCTATGATACGTTAGAAAGGCCATCTGTTTTTTTTTTTGAGATGGAGTCTCACTCTGTCGCCTAGGCTGGAGTGCAGTGGCTTGATCTTCTGCCTCCTGGGTTCAAGCAATTCTCCTGCCTCAGCTTCCCAAGTAGCTGGGATTATAGGCATGCGCCACCATGCCCACCTAATTTTGGTAGTTTTGGTAAAGACGGGGTTTCACCATGTTGCCCAGGCTGGCCTTGAACTCCTGACCTCAGGTGATCTACCCGCCTCAGCCTCCCAAAATGCTGGGATTATAGGTGTGAGCCACTGCACCCAGCCTAAAAAGGCCTTCTAACACCAAATTGAATGCCTGTGGTTCTACATATTACCTGATTTGACCTCTAATCTGCTTTTATAATCTCCATTTCCACTATAGCCCTTTTGTGTTCCTTATCTCTAGTCAAAATGGATTGTTTTTTTCTTTCCCCATACATGCCCTAATCTCTCTGTTCCGATTGTTTGTTGTTTCACAAATTCACTCATTCTACCAACTTTTACTGAGCACTTACTATGTATCAGTCATTGTGGCTAGGATATTGATGATACCGAGATGAATAAAACACGATCCTTCCCTTCATGGAACTCACATTTCAGTGTGAGAGAATCATGTAAGCAAGTTTTTCTCACCCAGCATCATAGAGGCCATAAGAAGACTGTGGAAGGTCCGTTGTGGGCCTAAGGGAGGGTGAAATCCACTCTTCCAGTTTCTGCCTCATTTCTTTATCATGCTTTCAATTTAATTTAATTCTATCTATTTAATTTCTTCCTTCTTCTCTCCTTCCTTTTGTTCTTTCTCTCTCTCTCTTTTTTTTTTCCATCTGGTTAACTTAACTACCCTCATGGCTCAGCCAAATGCCACCTCTTCTGCAATGCCTTCCCTGATATTTTCAGGCAGAATTAATAGCTGCTTTGTCTGTGTTCTCCATAGTACACCGTTTGTACTGCGATCAGGCTCTAGTTTAATTCTGTCTTGTGTTACCTTGATTTGTTTAC